AGTGTTTCATTAGTAATTAAAACAAAATATAAAAAAAACATAGCAGAAGATGATTAAATTATAACTTTAAAGAACATTCTTTGCTCCTGATATACTTACGTAAAAACATCATTACATATGCTTACATTTTTAATTGAGTGTATGATGAAGACTCTATGCAGAAATAATAATAAACATTACTTTATGATGCCTAGCTACTTGTGATTTGAGTGCTGCTTAAAAGAGAAATACTTTTGAAATGCTATGAAAGAACCCTAAGTCTTAAAAAAAACCCTCAATTTTTCTACTAACTAGAGTGATTGGGCCAGATATTCAGCAAAGGAAGAATACTTTAGTTTTCCACGAAAATAAACTATGATGAGACAATTTGAGAACCTTTTAGTTACTGTAGGGAATAGTTACTTCTCATGAACCCCAAAGGCTTAGCACTTCTTTTATGACAGTCTGGCCTGTCATAATTTTCCCCTTTTTAATTGACCTTTCCATACCCATGTTCTATGCACATTAGAGTTAGTTTTAGTAGTTATCAGCTCTCTAATATACCCTAAAATACAGGTTTTCCACCACCGCTGTGGTGAGTTCCCTCAGGGCAGTTCCTTTGGTAATACTGTCACTGCAATGGGAAGTAGCTGTTTGAAGGATGTCATCACCAACCTCTGATAGGAACTTTCATAAGAAGCTGTGGGTAAAATCATGAAGTGAAGGATAATTCAGGCAGCTTTTTCTTGCAGAGTATTACAGGAACCATAGGACTTTATTTCTCTTTAGGCAAGAAATGAAATTCCCAATCCACTAGATTTCTTTGGAGCGATGTTGTTTATTTGTTAAGCAAAAGGAGGATTATAATTATGTATATTTTCCATCCCATAGCTATATTCCTGTCTGCCTGCCTAACGAGAGGAGGGGATTTTCTATAGGTAGTGAGAAAGTAAAAGTCTTGTTCTCCCTTCCCAGCTGCCATGAAGCCCAAGGTTCCACAGTGAGCTACTTACTGTAAGTGGTTTGGTGAGGAACACCATCAACGTAGCCATCAGCATTGATTTGGAGATGGAAGCTGTTCCTCTCTGTATCTGTGTAGAGGTGCATCAGGCGATCCCCATTCCCCCAGCTGGGACTCAGCAGCGGAGAGGAGTTGGGAAAGGCGAGGGTCGCCTTCAGGCTACCGAGCAGCAGCAGCAGCAGCAGCAGGTACGCCAGGCAGCTGTAGGGACTGCTGGGTGGCATGGCTCGCCGTGCCCAGCCGTTGGTCAGTATCGGCAGCGCGACACGGCTCTGTGCTTCTCGCTTTCCCTCGGTCGCCTGTGTCTGGAGTGTGGATCCTCAGATAGGTTCCCTTCTTTTCTGCAGAGGCTTATAAAGGGCAGAGAAGTGACATCACACAGGAAAAACTTCTCCACATCCTTGATTTTTGTCAAAGCAACATTTTAAGTGTCCTGAAACCTCAAGGGAAGGATCTCTGGTGAAGGTGCGGGGGGGAAAAATGTAAGGTTTCTAAAGACAGCTCACGAAAGCTAATCATATGTTCAAATGTTATCTACAACCCTGTGACATCTGAAAGCTTCCCACGCCCCTACTGTTAGATCCAGGAAGAGCAGTCCACTGCACTTTACTTTTACTGAAGGGAATGACCTTTCAGACCTGAATTATCTTTTTTTCTCAGATATGTTTATTCGGATTACCACCTCCCCTCTCAGTTTCCAAAATACATTCTGATCAAGTGGAAACATCAAATACAGCTAAAATATTTTGCAAATGTATCAAAAGCTGATATTTAGGTTGTCCTGGGCCTGATTCTCCCTTCATTATGGTGTAAGTTTAGCAGTGAGCCTGGTAGGCTGATATTTGTGTCGCTCCATTTAAGCAAAGGAAACTTGATACGAGCACAACCCACTTCATACAAGCTATCCCCATTTCATTTTGAGTCACCTAAATAATTTAAAGCTGGCTAAACAGCTGAAAATTACCTGTAAAACGCTTAGAAACTGCACGCTTGGTCCCTGCATTGCACATCTGGCTGGCAGTCTTTTACAGTCGTGTGGGTTAGCATGGCCAGTAATCTCAGCTCTGAATCAAACCTGAAATCACTCATATCGGCACACTTTTTATTACTTCAGGTACAGCAGGCAAGCTTGGAACAACTACAAAGGAACATGACCAAGCTGAAAAGTAATAAATGGACAGTGATGTTAAAAAATGTTCCAAGATACAATACCTGCTTTTCAGTTGCCTTGCCAATGTTCTGCGGCTCTACAGACAATTTTTCTGATTTAAAAAAATATGGTTCCATTTATTGTATGAAAATGCTGTCCTAATGGGACACTGTGTATATGGGTAAAACAATTATGATAGGAATAACAGGTTATAGAACCAGACTATGCTAAAGTTTCTTTCAAAAATTAATACAAAACTGAAAAGAGTACCAAAAATAATATATTTTTTTTTTAAAGAAACCTGAGGATTTTAATTGTAGCAGTCTTAGGTTCAGTTACAGTCTCTAGTTGGACATGGTATGCAGAATTCTTAGTTTCATTAACAAGCTGTGGAGCAGTGCCATCAGCACCAAACATGTTATAGGTTGATACAACTGTAACCAACTGCAAAAGTTGATCTGAATTTTTTTTTTCTGTTTAAAATTAGCAAAACTCTGCCAAATTCTTCTGTCACACCTGTGTAAATTTAGAGACTTGCGTCAGTGTATATACACCTGTGTAAATGACAGTATTTTTTAGCCAAAGTGTATAAGGGTCATATCTTAGACTGAGTAGACTGACAAAGCTGTCTTCACTGAGAGGCAATGTAGGCTACAGATGTTTTGCTGCTTATAACGTCTGAAATGCTTTACTTTCATTTAAAAGATAGCTTGGAAGGAAAGGAGGGTTATTTTTTTTCTTCTCTTTTTTTTTAAGTAACGTATTTATTTATTGTTGAAATTATCCACCAATATTTTTCACTCTGGTATTAAAACAAATGTTTGGGGTTTCTTTGTTGTTGGTTGTTTGTTTTGTTTTTCTTTTGCTCCCTTTCATTAGACTACCATGGATATATACACCTCAGAAACAGTTGCAAAAGTTTCTGCATGAGGCACTTATAGGATAGTGCGTCCTCTTGGAATTTTTTCTGATTCTTTTGTGAATGAAGTTTTTCTGGTTTGATATTTCATATTCATCATGAAATTCTTCTCTGCTTGCCATTAGGTACTGATCTGATCTCTCGCCGGTGTCTTAACTGTAGAGAAATGGTTCTCAGATGTTTGAAAAAATTATTCAAACCCCATTTTAGGACATGCCAGTTCATCTGTTTTAGCACATGCCATTCAGCTGTTGATGAAGTAACCAGGTCTATGAAAGCTTGCTTACTTTTTCAGCTGCGCCTGTTAGTCTAGTAGAAGTGATGACAATCTTTCTTCTCTTGTATTGTCACGCTATTGCATCAGTAGTAACAATATTTCTGCAACTTTTACTACATATGTCGATACTGCTTTTTTAGATCTCTGTATTGTTCTGAGATGTTTGACCAACTGAGACAGCTTTTCTCAGTTCTCAGTGAAGAATTAGCTGCAGAGTCTTACAGGGTTTGCTTGGTTTAGAGGGAAGAAAAAAAATGGAACTGAGTTTGAAGACCAAAAACATTTCAGCAAACTCAGAACTCCTCTTCAAGTGCTACCTTAGTCCAAATGAATAATTCAGCTATTGCTAAGTTTTGTTCAAACATGGAAATACGCTCATTTCTCCTCTGGAGGAGCCTACGCTTTTAATCAGACGGGAGGGAAGGCGGATGCTGTGAGCACAGCTCCGTGAGCACCCGTGGAGCTGGAGGGATGCTGCTGGGAAAGGACAGGGCTGACCTATGCCTTAGGACTGAATGCAGACGTTTCCACAGTCAGGACAGCCACATTGCCCCGCTTCCCCCTTCCCGTTGCAGGGATGCTGCAGAGCCAGTATCAGGTGGCACAAGGCTTCCCTGGGAAGCATCCTGCAACGGCAGCTGGGAGGCAGCCCCAAGGTACCACCCGTGGAACCATGGAGGTAAACTGAAGACATTCTCACTTCAGAGCATGGTTGAAAGGAAACAATGGATAAGACAGGCCCCAGCTTGCAGGCTGAAATTTATTTGAGAAAACCATAGATGCTCTGCCCCTTGGTGGGTTTCATTCCTCTCCCTCTCTCTGCCATGCCTTCATCCCAGGTCTGCTCCTGCTGCCTCCTTGCTTCAGAGGCAGCATCGGTCTGGCTAAGCTGGTTAGTCTGGGTGGTCAACAGGGCCAGGTGCCTCGACTGCGATGCCTGCGACGCCTGTGTACGGGGTGTGTTAGGTGCACTAGCCCAGGACACGCAGCAAACGGGTCATGAACCACTGAATATCTGTAACTGAATGTAATAACTTTCTGTGAGGAATGAAGCAAATGTTCAGTAGAAAGTTTTGTAATTTATTTAAATATGATCATTTAACTGCAAATTATACCCAAAACTGTACACAGATGGAACTGAGTTAGAGTCATGGGAGCAGCCTGGGATCTGGCTTTCCCCCATTTTGACTGCTTTGAGTTTCAGCTCTAGGTCATTTTCTGATCAAGAGTTACCATTTCAAACCTGTAAACCCCTGATCTCAGCAACTGTATCTCATCCCTTGTCCAGCTGCTAGCGAAGTAATTCCTTTCTCCTAATTGCTTACCACTTCAGTCAATGGCAGAGGACTTACAAGGGAAAGGCAAGTTTTTTACAACAAATTTAAGTTACTACGAATGACTTGCCCTCAGTTACCTTTTGTAGACTCCTTGAAAGTGCTTTATGCACCATCAAATATTTGCAGGTCATAAAAAAAAAATGAGTTTCCTACTCAGTATAATGTGGTTGTCTTCCAGGATTCTCCTACCTGTAAAAATGCACGTTCCCTCAGAGTGCTGGACTACTTTTCATCATGTAGGAGCACCTGTAGCAGTGTTGCTTAATACAGCATATTGACTTATATTTAAACAGGTGTGTAGCTTGTCGTTTTTCAGAACTCTGTGCTATCTGGTTTTCTGGGATGGTCCCAGGAAGCCTCTTGCTCTCTGCTGTTTCAAGGATCACAAGGGAGTTTGGGCTGACAGATTTGAAAATACCACTGCTTTTAACAATTTTCTTTGCATTGCGTCTCTTCAAAGAGGTCAGAGAAATCAGGGCCCCTTCTATCTCCCTCCTCTTCCTTAAAATCACTGTAATAACTGGCTCTGGGACAATCACATCTTCAGCATTGGAAATACAAGGGTGGAGTGCCTCTCCAGAAGTTATTCTAGGAATAATGACGCACTAAGTCAACGGTATGTAGAGTGGATGATCTCTGTGTGTGTGTGTGCATGAGCCTTTGCCACAGACTTTACCCGGTGTTGTTAAACACATCCTGAGTGACCTTATTTGGATGTCCCATTCTTGTCACACTGCCCACGACTAAAGAAAACATCCTGGCTAGGTTCACCTACGTGAAACAAATGAGGTAAGCACAGCCCACTGGGTCTGGGACCGCAGCATGTACTAGCAGTTTCTGCGATGTGCTTGCCAAATATATTGTTTTGGGTCTTCTGTTTTTCCCCCCTCACCCTTTCTCTACATAGTAGACATTTTGGAAATTCATGTCCAGTTTCGGAAGTGCTAAGTCACCTGCACAGGCAGCTCAGATGGTGATATTGCTAGAGTAGCTTCCTCGGTGCCTTTCTCTGCAGGATGCAGGATGCATGGTCTTCCTGAGAAGCGAACGTCTTTTCTTCTTAGCACGTTTCTTTCCAGTCAGACAGAAGACTGGCATAAGCTTTCAGCTCTGATTCACAAGTCCAA